ATAAGCATAAGCAAATGCATAAGGAAATGGACCAATCAATTTCCTTATGCTTATGCGTTATGCTTTATGCAAAAGTCTGTGCTCCGGCCAGTACGTTCGAAAACTACACCTAGAGTGAAGTCTATAGCAAGTCTATAGTATACGTCACATATACTATATACATCACGTATACTATAGCAATAAACAGAGACTTTCACTCTGGGTGTAGTTTCCGAACGTACCCAAGTCAAATATTTTATTTTAAACAAATTCAAACTTAAATATTTTGAATTTTGGCTAAAAATGTTTTGAGACTCAACTAAAAGAGTTTGAGTTGAATTAAGATTATAGTTCTTATCTATTCCACTTAAGTTTTGCATCTATTTCTTTTTCTTCTTTGATATTTAACTGAAAATGTTTATAACTTTAAATTTATGGTCGTATGGACAAAATGTCCAACCTTATCCTGCCTTATCCGACACTCGATAATAATAATAATAATAATAATAATAAATGTAATTTTTCATTTATATACTATTGTAACGTTTGACAAGACGTCAATGTTTGTTTTGACAAGAATATATTTCATTTAGTATTTAGTGACGTGCTGTGCAGTAAAAATGGGAAAGAGGAAATTAAATCTCTCAACAAGAAGACTTTCCTTGAAAAAAGGACATCGACTGAGGTTAGACTAATCTTGTTATTTATTTATGATATAACTGTGATATATATATATATATATATATATATATTTATGTGTGTGTGTATGGTATGTGTGTGTGTTTTAGTCAATTTTTAGAAATAAGAAGTTGAAATAATTATAAAGAACTTTTTATTCTTTATGTTTTTCAAAATTATTTGAAATGATACAAATAATACATTTTTCTTGCAGGCGGCGGATGTTACGAGAAATGCAAAAAAAATTAGCAAATAACACACAAGCTACTTTGACTACTGAAAATCCCACCGATTCCATTGAGTCTCAGGTTTCTGCTCATTTGCTACCAGATAATATAACGGATGCAGATGTTAATACTGAAATACATTGCTTTGGCCAAATTAAAGAAGAAAAATCAGTAGATAATGAAGAATTTGAAACATACGAAGAAAATGGTGTGTACAATCTAAATATTAAGCATTTTGAAGATAACAAAGATGAAGATGATACCATCACTATTGAAAAAAGCAGTTGCTTATTGGATGCAATGTGTATGCAAGAAAATATACCTGAAGGTCGTTGTATTGTTGATATCTCTTTTGTGTGGAATGAACTCCGTCGTGTATTCGACAATCATATGGATCACTCAGTCTTTATAGGAATTAAATGCCAGTTTAAAGACTGGAAACTAGTCAAGTTTTATCGTCGTGGATTACGAATTCAATTCTCCTTTAAATGTCAGATGTGCCGCCAGGAAGCTAGCATCTGGTCTGAGCATGTGGAATCTGAAACATTGGATATTAACGCATCTGTTGTAGCTGCAACATTAAAAGCAGGAATTGGGTTTTCCCAGTTGAAAAAATTGTGTGCAGCAATGAACATTGTATGTATGTCTAATAACACTTATAGGAAGAACAAGAAAAATTTATTGGAGAATTACAACAAAACAGCTATCCAAAATATAAAACGGAAATTGTTTTAAAATCAATTTCAGAATGCATTGCTTTATATGTTATAAAATATCTTTTTGTTTTGTTTTCTTTCTGATATATAAAATATAATTGTAATAACATATCATATAAAGAACAAGATTAATATTTAATGAGAGATTAATATTTAATGATTAATTGAGAAATTGCTTTTTTTTATTTATGTATGTTCAATTCTGTAAACTGTCAACTTTATTTTTATTCAAGCAGAATTGCATTGTGTATCGCGTTATACACGCGCGTTATATTGCACTATTAAAGTTTTATTTATTTATATATAACTAAAACTTGTGATAGGTTTTCGTAGAACTACGATGTTTTATTTTTATAATAGTAATTCTTTTCTTCCATCTAATAATATATGTAATATTCATAATACAAAATATATTTTGTTTTCCACTTTCGCAAATACATGTTATGTGATTGGTAGTAATAAGAAAGATAATTAGTGATAATAAAAAAGTACTTTCTGGCAAAGAACGATAAGTATATACTTTTAACTGTACTTATGATATGGTTGAAGATAAGATAAACTGTAATATTAAAAATATAATAATATTAGAATATAAAATAAATGATCCACATATAGATATTTATTATTTTTCTGTAAATACAATGAATCTGTTTTTGCTAGCAACTATCTGTCTTAATGTATTGTATTAAGCCCTGTAATGTATTAAGATTATAGACATCTCTTTTTAAATATATTTTAAAATCACTTTTTATTTTTAATTTGTAAAGCTTTCATCAGCTTAAAGTCTATAGAGAGAAAATGCATGACTACAAGACACTACATATATCTGTAATAAATAACATAAGAAATATAAACTAGAAACTGGAAGACTCAGATATTTGTGTCAGATGTATCTTTGGATTTAAATCAATCTCTTAAACACTTTATTTGTTCTATATATGAACTTTTATATCACAAATATACAGAAAACTTAGACATCAAGTTTACAAATGCATTTTGCTTTCTCATCCGCATTTTATTTTTATATTCGTTTATGGAATTACTTTTGCGAAATAAATTCAAGTATTCCTCAGGAATGACATCCGTATATATTGCAGTTATTACTCCAATTATGCGCAAACTATTCCATAAGGAATTCTCGTACACATTTTTATTTACTTTACAATTGTATTGCAAAGATTAAACAAATCCCAGTGAAAAAGGCAGAATATTTCAAATGGTTACGTATACTTTTATGTTTTTCTCTTACGATTCTGCATATGATCTTTTAAATTAGAGTCGACTCCAGACACCAATAAAATATCCATCAGCTTATCTGTATAATATCTCATGAGCGGCATATTATTGGTATTTTAATTATATCAAAATCTTATTCTTGTACAAGTAAAAAAAATAAATTTATTTGATTCTCTTAACTATAATATCTTTTTGTTTGTTCTTTGAATTTTTCAGAAATAAAAACAGATTAATTTTGCTTGTTTTAAAAAATAGTACTTAAAAAAATAGTACTTGAAAAAAAAAACCAGAGAGTCGACTCTATTTAAAATTAACAGAATCTTTCTTTCGGAAAATAATCTCAATTTATGGAATATAAAGTTACAATTAAATAACAGCTTGTTTCTTTATTCTTGTAGCAAATTTCAAGATCATTTTTCTTGAAAAATGTAAAGATGTTCTTGAAATTTGTTGCAAACTGTATAGAACACCCTGTATTTTAATAATCATGATATTATAATAACATAGTACACCGTAGTACATGAATAATCGCATCTTTAGACATTAATCTCTATGATATTTTGCATAATATCGTGTGTATTTAACAGTTATGTCGAAAATCTCATACCTCTTCTGGTCACTAAAAAAATGCACTTTAAAAACTTGTAAACGAAGATATAAAAAGACCGCTATTTTTTCCTTATTTACCGTAAACTTGCATTTCGTGTCGCTAACCAAGTCAACGCGTGTTACAATTTGTTTTCAGTTTACAGTTCCTCAACTAACTCATGAAAGTTTATTTCACTAGTGGATAGATCGCGGCCACGTCGTCACTTGTTCTTCATAATCATCGTTCGTCTAGTCACTCGGCCACAGAACATTCCGACAATAAAGATGATCCCGATCACGGTGAATCCAACGATCATGAAGTAACGCCGTGCTGGAGAACGATTCATCGTCGAATATAATTCTTCAATCGTATTTGGCGCAATCAACTGTAATACAATACGTAAAACGCATTTATTCCAAGACACAGTGCGAAAGAAAATAAGTATATTAAATATATAGATATAATTTATTGACTTTGGCAGCATTTCTGAACATTTCCATCCTTGTAGTCAGCATCTTGTAACAATCAGGTTGCAAGGATTTGTTGCTGTCTTCCAACGCATTTTGTAAACACTGTATGTCTGTAATATCATTAAATTAATTATTATTATAGTTAATGAAAGAAATTAAACAT